TAAAATATAAGTTATGACTTCTTTTTATGTGTGTATATTAGTTAGACATTCCTTTACAAATTTATAAATATAATTTCTTAGACTAATAATATTAAATCTGTGCAACTACTTTAATCACAATATCTTTTGATATTTGTCTTTTTTAATCCTAACAAATTTGTTGAAAAAAGATTATAACAAGATTTCAACTTTTAAAGTTTTTTTGTGAATATTTTCATTAATTTCCAAATTAATAATAAAATAATGTATACTTTGTTATCGTTCATATATTTTTATAATTATAATTTATCATTTAAAATAATTATGATATTGAACTAAATATGAAAAAAGTATATTAAAATCATATATTAATATATATTTTTCATAAATATAACTATTTATGTTAAAATAATATAATATGCTGTTAAAACGGATTAACATAATACACTATATAATACATGTATACAAATTAACATATCTAAAGTTTATATATACAATAATATATTATCTAAATTAATAAATATAAGTATTTACAAAAATAATTAAATAAATACTTAAATATATGATTACTACTAAAAGTACATACCAATAATGATGTACATAAATATATATAAATGAAATTAAAGACCCTTTCGGTTGAGGAGGTCAAAATCTAATTATGGTTTAAGTTAAAATCTGGCTCACGCCTTTAGTTTATTGTTTTTACTTCCTCCATTTTTTAATAAATGGTATTTTAGGGCTGTAAACATAACTTTATAAAATATTTAATTTTATATTTCTAAACAGAAAACATCGTTAATTATTTATTTAAGCCTAGTTCAACCAATAATATAGAAAATATAACATCACTGGTCATATAACATTATTTTTAAAAAAATATATATATAGGAAAAATTGAGAATACCATCTAATTAGGAACAAAAAAATCTCCATAAAATGTTATGTATTAAAGAAACTGAAGGAGTATTATAACAAAATCTCTTCAAATCACTTTATTATGGTATGACTTAGATCGTTTTCAATAATTTATTCTATTTTTCTTTAAAATAGAGTAACTCTACAATTGAGTTGAATTATAATTAAATGATACTCTAATTTAGAGTAAAATAGAATGATGAATAAAAATAAATGAACTACTGTATTTATAGAGTAAATTTATTTTTTTACCCTATTATAGAATGAAATAAAGTAAAACTAGAGCTTTTTATTAGAATAATTTCAATATATTATTAAAAATTTTACGTTAGTGGCAAGCTAAAAAATTTATTTTTTTGAAGATTGAATGTGAATTCATTTTTCTGAAAAAGGGAATTTATTTTTCAGATATTTTTATAGTAAAAAGATTTTATATATTTTGTACTTATAATTTTAAAGTATAAGTATGCCTTTTTAGTATTTTATTAAAAATTTTCAACAACCAAAATATAGTTAATATCCGCTCTAATTATTTTTTACATTATGATCAAATCTATATGTTATGTAATGTTAAAACTTTTGATTTCTAAACATGAACCAATTAATATAACATGACATTCACACATCCTTATAGTATTTTCTAAAGATAGTAATACACATTTACAAAAATAATATTTTCAAAAAATGTACGTGTTAATAATTGCTGATATCATGAAACACTTTCTTCGGCTAATATGGTCTCCTTGTCATTCAAGATGTGGGCCATTGGATGCCAAACATGCAAAATTTTATAATAAATAACTCAACAATTTTGGCCATTGGAGAACTCAGTAACATTATAAAAAATAATCAGTTTGAAATAACTGGGATAAATTTTTAAAAAGTAGACACTCACATATATAGAGTTGATACGGGTTGTAGGTTAGTTAACATGATTATATATAGTTTAATTTTTTCGTAAGTCAAATATTTCTCTCTAAGATATTTTTTTAATTAAAATCCGAGAAAAATGAATTCATGTAACAAATAAATATTTTTTCAAAAGTGACTCAAAATTTCAAGTCAAACACAAAACGAATTCTTTTGGACATTTAATTTGTCCAATCTATTTTTAGAAGTTATGATTATTACGAAATGTCATTTTTATTTTATTTTTTTCTAAAATGATTGTTTTACTCTCTCATCCATATCTTCATCAATTAATCACGAAAATACCAATACCATTACCATTAATTCATCCAACAACCATGAATAATCAAAATAGAGTTTTTAATGTTCTAAAAATTGAAATTTACTCATTCATTCTTATATCTTATACTCAAAAACTACATCTCTTCCACTTTCTATCTATATTCATCCAAAAAAAATTCAAGTTTTTTATTCTAAAGATTTCATAAAGCCATTCAAACTCATGATTTCTGGTCATTAACGATTAAATAGTTGTCATGGTGAAGTTGTGTGTGCTTAGAGAATTAAACAAGATCTCTCAGTGGTTGTTGAATATATAAATTGATTTTTTCCCAGATTTATTCACTAGAAAATTTAAGCGTAAGTCTTCGTAAGTCATCTCAGTCGAAAAGACTTCCACGGAAGTCTTCGGGTTAAAGAATACGTGAGTCTTCGTAACTTGTTTTTCTAATTTTTCTTTGTAAAAAAAAATCTAGAAAGCTTAACTCGAAATCTTTTCGGATAAACAAGTTAGTTTTACAGTTGACCAGTCTGTGCAAGAAATTTGATTTTCTACAAAAAAAACTTCCAGATAAGTCTTCCACCTGAAAGTCTTCTCAACCTTTACATTAAGTTTGGAAGACTTACCTTAAAATCTTCTCAACCTTTACATTAAGTTTATTGAAGTTTACGTAGGTTATTTTTGTAATTAAAATTTAAATTTAACACATCAATACTATTAAAAAGAAAAAAAATTCTAAAAAATCTACATATACAAGTTGTTTAGATACTTTTATCAGATTAATATCTTTTTGGTGTTCCCTTATTATTTACTCTAACTGTACAATACTCTAAATAATTTAAATCTAACGGTACAATACTCTAAATAATTTAAATGATCTAGTGTGAACTTAACATATCATTTGATATAGCCTGTTTTTTTTTTTTTTGTGAAACTGATATGGCCCATATTATAAATGTTCCATTGTATTAAAACACTTTTTATCAGAATACGAAATGATGAATTCCAAGTCAAAATGTGACTGATGAATCCTAATACCAAACAGTCATACTGGTGTATAACGTTCTTTAGGTTAAAAGTATACGACATGATGATATAAAGTAAGATTGGTTTCTATGCATTTAATTTATAACTATATTATATCGCAAACACTTTGCAACTTTTTTTTTTTTCAAAACGTCACTGGCTCATCACTAAATCATAACATGGACAAAGCTAGACCTCGGTAACTTCTTTGAGGTTATGAAATCAGTAACATTTATACATCAATGTCATTTTGATGAGTTTGATAACTTGATTAACACTTTTATTAATTTCAAATTCATTTTAAAGAAAGTTGATTTAGCGTATTTTGTTATAACAGAATATTCTTCATATATGTTTCATAATATATTGTACTTTGTTGATAATATATTATTATATACGATTTTGTAAATCAATACCAGAAACTGTTACAGTTTCATGGTCGACAAGTTTATATTTATATCTATTACAAAAAATTCATGTTGGACCATCTCATTAATATGACATATTTAATTATTTATTTTAATCAATCAAATATATATATAATTGGAGGAATATTTTAATAATTAATAAGATATTAGTAATAAATTTATTGAGAAAATATCTAACAAGATCTTACTAAGAAGTTTAAATATTTTTATAAAATATGCATTATTTAATTTCTTGATATATATATATATATAAATATAAATATCTATATTAATGTTAATTAAAAATAAAATTGTTTTATTTTATAATTTAGTTATATTCTATATTATATTAAAATAAAATGTTATGTGAAATGAATATAAAATATATCAAATTGGTAAAGGAAAATAAAATATATCAACTTGTATTAAAAAAAATTTCTTTTATCCAAATAAATAAATAAATATCTCTCACGTTTAAAACATGTGAAATTTTTTAAATCATATAATATTTTTATACAAAAATGTTAACATATATTTTTGTAACTCACAACAAATACATTATATATGAATATTTTTTATTTTAAAACTTACAACAATATATTATATAAAATAATTAAATGATAAGATTATACAATTATACAATATATAAAAATAGAATGTAAATCATTTATATTTGAAAGGTTTTATTATATTTTTATAAAATGAAAAAAATACATGCGCAAATGTGAGGTTCAAAATCTAATTTTAGTTAATTAAACATTTAAACTTAACATAAACCCATCTATTTTTAAAGCATCGGAGACATAACATATATTCTTATCATTTTCCTTATTTCCATTTTCCAACAATCAAAATATCAATACAAATCTAGTCAAAATTTGTGTAACCAACAATGATTGTAGACCCTTTTTATTATAAATACTAGGTAATATTATAAACAAAGCTTGAAATAAATTATAGTATGTCGGACTGTTGTACGTTATGTTAAAATGAAATTTATTTAATATTATATAATTTACAAATTAAATTCTTTAATAGTCTATACGTACACTCTTATGTAAAATATTATCTAAACAATCATTAAAATCTAGTCTACTAGCCATCCTAACACCTTCAACAACAAATCTCTTTGGTAAAGAATGTTAAAACGATGGAGAGTTGGTTCAAATATTTCATCATACACCTTTTGGGCATGAAATACCTAAAGCTCAATTCTAGAGAAACCAATTCTAAAATAGCATTAAATTCACTCTACAAACAAGGAACAACATGGATCTATGCTTAAACACCTTAGAGCATGTACATCAAAGGTTGATGAGGGGTTCATGGGCTGGGGTTCATGGGCTGGGGTTCATGAGTTTTAAAAAAAAATAAAAAATGGGTTTAAATTGGTGAATCTACTCTCTCTACTGAACCTGTATGAGAGGGGTTCATGACACGTGTCACACATTGGATGGCTTTTTTCGTTTGAGGAGGAAAGCACGATGAGGAGGAGAAGACAGAGAATCTCAAGGTTAAGAAGGTGATTGAGAAGCTCAAAGACACCATTAAACGATCTCGCACCGGTTTCCTCACCGCGAAATCAGTCGCAATTGGCAAAAGCTGCTCGGCCTCACCATCCCTGTTCTTCGCTTCCACCATCCGACCTTCCTTGGCCTCCTGCTTCTCCGCTTCTCCTCGCTTCCCCGTCATCTCCCATAATCTCTCTCGCACCACCCTCTCTTTCTCCCGTAATTAGATTCATCACCAATTGTTGAATTACACGAGAGCGAGACATATATAGATTAGTTAGCGAGACAATCGTTGCGAAGTTGGATGAATCTCCAGTGGTTCCTTCCACAACTGTTTCAATTGATTAGTTATAGAGATTCTTGTTTTGTGTTTGCAGATGTTTCTCAGTCAAAGCTTTTGACTTTGAGAAGAAGTGTAAGCTGCTTAGGAGTAGCTGAATCTGGAAATACAGCTCAAGCAAGCACATAAGAGGATCTTCTCAAGTGGGTCAAAGATGATAACAGAAGAATGCTTCATGTTGTTTACCGTGTTGGCGATTTGGACCGGACTATAAAGTATAAGCTGGTTTTCTCTCTTAATACCAAGGAGAATTAAGATTAACAGAATCGTATCTTTCCTTCAGATTCTATACGGAATGTCTTGGAATGAAGCTACTACGCAAGCGTGATATACCGGAAGAGAAGTATACAAATGCTTTTCTTGGTTATGGTCTTGAAGATTCTCACTTTGTCATGGAGCTCACTTATAGTAAGTGAATTATCTTTATTACCGAAAAGGTGGCGAAAACTGTAGAACTTATTAAAGCCAAGGGGGGCAAAGTAACAAGGGAGCCTGGTGCTGTTAAAGGTGGCAAAACTATAATCGCATTCATGGAAGATCCTGATGGTTACAAATTTGAACTCTTGGAAAGAGGTCCTACACCTGAACCTCTTTGTCAAGTTAGTGTTGGTCATCTCGACAGGGCCATTAAATTCTATGAGAAGGTTAAGTCCTACGAAATCCTTGTGCAATGAGAGAATTTATTAGCCTGAACCATATGTGTTTTATCTGGTATAGTTTTTGTTCCTTTATTTATAGGCTTTTGGAATGGAACTTCTGCGAACAAGAGACAATCCAGAGTACAAGGTAACTTGATATTGAATACAAATTTTTCAAAAAAAAAAAAAATTATTTTATTTTTCAAAAAATATATTATTTTATTTATATAAACTCCGACTTGAGGTTCATTGATAGAGGAGCACAATTGATCCGGGTTCATCATTATTCATGGTCCCACCATAAAATTAATAAACAATACATATGAACCCCAAGAGGGGGTTCATTGATGTACATGCTCTTAGATCTAACTTAATCACCTTTTGATCTCCCTAACCCATGAATCCTAAGATGACTACTCACTAATCACCATGATTACACTTAAGCCCATGAGGGATTTAAGGTTAATCATGATTATAAAGCAATGATACACTTGAGAAATCTCAAGAACACAAAATATAAGATGAAACTTAGATGAAAGAAATAAACTTTCACCAAATGTCAAGTGTTTAGGAGAGAAAAATAAGATAACCCCCATCATTAGGTCTAGGGAGTATTTATATTTACCTAAAATTGAACTGGACCAACCCAACAAACCTAAGCTGGCCCAAACAAAAGTGGTAAAAAGGTCTGGTCAAACTCGAAATGTTGACTTTTGGACGCTCACATCGGCCTATGCAGGCCGCTGCATCATGCCGCTGTAGGGCTCCAGCGGATTTTTGCTCTCCAATTGGCCGCTCCACCATGTTGCTGCAACACTTAGTCTGTGTAGGCTCTCATTTTCTTCGTTTTTGATGTCAACAAGCCGCTGTAACACACCAATTTCGAACAGGGAAACAAGATTGTTGAGGTGTGTACATCGACTTCAACTGACCGCTGCTATATGCCACTGGTGCACTTGGTCTCACTGAGGGCTAGACGTAGCGGCTTCTCGACTTCGTTGCTAGGCCGATGTAATGTCTACATGCCGCTGCTGGGATACTTGTACATTTGAACCCACCCTCGAAAATCAACTAGTCTTGTTTCTAAATCACTTCCAAAAGCTCCAAAGTAACCATTTTGCATCTTCAATACCTGATAAGAACATATGCAATGCAATGCATCCTAAACATGTCTAAATGAAGTCCTAAATGAACAAAACAAAAAAGATGAGAAGGTTAAAACCATGCAAATATGCTATACATCAACTCCCCCAAACTTGTCATTTACTTGTATTCAAGTGAACTTTCAATAGCAATAAGGAGTTTGAAAATGGAGACTCATCACCAAAAGAAACTCTTCCTAGATATGTCCATGATATCCTTTCATAATCATATCAAATAACAAGAGCAAACACTTTTTTCAACTCTAACTTCTTAAGGCCTATCCTAACTCCTTTGTTCTCTACACCCATCATCATGAATCCACATACAAAAAATCAACCAACTCTCACATTCATTAGCAACATTAAAAGTGAATTCTTGCAAATGGTCAACTGGTCCAAATCATTTGGTTTGGTAGGAAATGGCTTGAAGTGGTGACATATTAAGAAGGTTATGATGATCTTTTGTGGTAACTTACTCTCTAAAAATTAGTAGCTTTGTCATTATGCATAATATGTCTAAGAAATTGAACAACTCATGCATACAATGATCAATCTCCATTGTTCTACCATTTTCCTAAGTTTAAACAAATGCTACCCTGTCACTCAACGATCTCTAAGCCACTCAATACCACTTCTAAAGTTGAATTCTTTTATTTTGATATCAACTAGGGACACTTTATACCATTTTTTTTATTTTTTTACTTTAGTTCTCTTTGTTTTCATTCGGATTCTACCCCCTTCTTATTACTATATATATATATATATATATATATATATATATCTTTTTTTGGGGGGGTACTTCTTTTTATACTCTTGAGCTAATCAACTTCTATTTGCTTATCCCTAGTTGTTTACTCTCTTTAAGCTTATGAGCTCACTCTTTTCTTTCCTCTTCATTCACCCAAATTCAAGCTCTCAAAACAATCCTATCCCATCCTAGAAACTAGACAAAATGAGTCCTATAGTTATTAAGTTATGGAGACTTATTATTGTCGTTCCAATTACTCTCAACATTATGCACATGTAAAGCTTTCAGAAAAGGCCTCACTCAACAATTATTGATGGCTTAAATGAAGGGAAGGGTTAAGGGAATGGAGTGCCACTTGAGTTGTCAAAAATATTGGTAAAATTGGTGGGACAAACTCAGTGTGTATGAAGCCTTGATTTTAGTACACAAGAGACCATAAGTAATAAGAATTAAGTTCAGTTAAGATATGAGTTGGCAAGTATGCTTCAAAAATCAATGAGTTCCAAGACGAGTTTTCAAGGCTCGAAGTCTACAAGTCTTCTAAAGGATGCTCTAGCTACTTGCCATGATTACAAAAGGGCATCAAGTTGATTTCTAAGCATGAGTTCTTTAAAAGGTAAGTTTAATCCTTGTCTCCTATGCAAATGAATGCAACTTATATGATTCTAGACTTCTTTTTTTCTATGGAAATAGGTGTATGCTCTAGACTCGGATCCTAAGAATGCAATGATGCAGCTACATGATTTTTGTTGTTTTTGAAATTTATTTATAATTTTTTTTTTTGGTTTTTCTATGCAAATATGTATCTACGATGCAAGACTCAAAACTTAAAATCAACAAAATAAACATGATTAGTATTTGTCCTTCCCCCAAACTTAAATCACACAGTCTCTGGGTGTCTAAGCTTAAGGGAGATTCTAGGGAAAAAAGAGAAATGCAAAAGGAAATGACTGATATATACAATTGAAAGGTGAAGAAGATACCAGTCTAAGAAAAGGAGGAGGCACCTCATGTGTCATCGTCATCTGCTGTGGCGACTGATGGAGACTCGTTGGAAGAGATTTGACAAGGAGGAGCGCGGTTTATGCAGCTGCGACGGAGCTCAGAGTTTGGAGACCGAGGCTGTGGAGGCTGGCAGTAAGCCGGGTGCGGCAGAGTAGATGGAGCAGCCAATGCATCATTCCTTTGGCATCCTGAACCAATGGTAAGCTGAGCCAAAAGTGAAGTGACTTTCTTCATTTGTCTCTTGAGCACTTTCTCTGAGTTTTTCAGCTTGTAGTTGGTGGAGTCTTGCATCTTATTCAACCGAATCAGCTTGACGTTTGAGAGAGAGCCTCACGTAAAGCAACACTTGTGGTGGCTCCACTGTAGGGCTTGAAGTAATACCTCTCAGTCCCATATATCTTTTCTGGCGGTGTTGACATGCTTGGCCCTTCATCATCAGCATCACTAGGGCAAGCTTAGTGAGATGATTTTCCCTTGGCCTTTTTGCTGCGCGGTGTACGGATGGGCTCAAGTTGACCGAGGTCGAACTCTGGAGGGATGAGCTCATGCTGAGGAAGGATAAAAAGTACATGCTTGGGACCAGATAACGTCGTCAAACTCTCACAAGGTAGGAAGATGTGCAATTTATGGACATCGGTGTCGCATGACAAGAAGGCATATGCATATCTGTCTCCTAACTTCCCAATAAGAGTCTGAGCTTTCTTCAAATAAGGTAGATCAATGAAGGTTGGGGCATGATCCTGAGGTCCCATGGTAACACCTGCTGCTTCCAAGATGGGAGTGAAGAGGCTTCCAGTGAACAATTTGGGGGTTTTGTCTATGGTGGTCCAGGCTTAGTCTTCATAATCCATGAATCTCCTCTTCAATAAACCTACCAGTCCCAGATCCTCAAACATTTCGAGTTCAACTCGCCTCATCGAGTTTTCGTCAATGATAGGAAGAAGGCCTAAAGCTAGGATCTCAAGGTCATCTTCAGTTGTTCCACCTGGTTCTCTTCGCACAAAGAAGGTATGGGTGAGTACCTTGTGAGCATATCTGACTCCAGAGCTTGTGATATCGTTGCTCTTATCCTCACCGGGTGTACGCTCGTGTCCAACAATTGCGGCCCACACGTCATCTGATATGTGAGATCTGTTTGGTGTGTATGAGTCCCACTTGTCAGGGAGTCCCAAAGTAGAACCCAACTTCTTGAAACCCATTCTATAGTTCTTCTCGGGAACTGTGAAAGTTATGTGCCCGAAGCCTTCCTCATCATCTCCTTTTTGATTGTATGACACGCGCAATGTAGACAAGAACTGAGGGAAACCTCTTCATGAACACCATAGCTCATAGTGAGGAAGGATTCCATACCAAAATATTCCGAAGAATCATTCTAACATCTTCATATATCCCCAGCTTTCTAAGAGAATCAAGATCTAGGAACCTCATAGATCTCCATTGGATCTCCGTATCAAGGTGCTTGTAGAACTGCATGGCTGTCGGGTTTTGGTTAGTTGGAACTCTCTTCCTCTTTTTGATCTGCTGTAGTACAGGGTCTTCGTCCTCTTCCTCACTCTCAGTTGGAACTGCTAAACCCTCATCAATCTATATTTCTATCTCAGCCAAACGTTCTTCCTCAACATTGCGGTCTTCTTCAGCCTTACCATCTTCTTCAGCCTTACGGTCTTTTTCTACTGCCACAGACTTCCCTTTCCTATTGCTGCGCTGCTAGACTCTTATGAGGTTTTGAAGTGGTATGCCTGCTCTTTGCGGGTTGGCTCTTGTCGCAGCTTGAGAAGAAGTACCAGTAGAAAGGTCTATGGAGGGAGAGCTTCACTTTCCAGTTGCAGGTGGGATCCCCTTGCCATTCTAACTTCTACCCTCGCTGGTATAACTGTAACGGTTCTCCGTGCCGAAACTTTATTTCTCGGCATCACTACCTGAAATCAAACACTTGAGATAACTTGAGAACATGGTAATAAAATGAAGCATACTCAGGCAATAAGGTTTATAACAATTCACTAAGCCTATTGCAAGTTCAAGCAACCATTTTCCCCAAAATTTTAAAATTTGCTCAAGAACCCTAATTTTTCAAATCTCAATTCAGGCCAATTGAACACGTTTTTCATCAACCCAACTCATCAAAAGAGTTAATAAAGGCATAAGAAACAATTTTAGAGGAAGAAATCAAACATACAAAACTCTTTAAAATTTTCATATTTTTAATCAAGAGAACGTAGTTTGAAATCTCTATACCTTAGCTTGTTATGATGGAAATCGATT